GAAACGTTCCTGGGAATTTATCGACTGATGTGACTCACTGGAGCAGACAGAGTGTCTGGGTGACATGGTGAGTGTAAATCAGAGCATTAATGAGAAGATGGAAGCTGGTATTACAGGACGCTGAGCATTATTGATTAAACGAAGGAGTCGATACCAGATCCAGAAAAAGAAGAGGAGAGGGGAGATCTTGGCTCATACATTCATATCTGTTATGGATGAGAAGATAAACAGGTTTGTAGACGAGGGGGGGAATCCTCTGCTGCATGTCAAAGGAGGCACATCTGAGCCCTGGGGACTCTGGGTGGGAGTTAGACCGCTGCGTGGTGGGGCTTAATGAAAGCTCTCCAGAAAAGCATATGGATTCACAGACACACCAGTGCAGACACCTGCTTACAAGGCTGCGTTTAGATGTCCCTGAAACCTGGTCTATGGTATGATTACAGTATCCACAGTATGGTTTTGAAACACATGGATTTACATTTTATTTATTTAGCAGAAACGTTTAACCAAAGCAACACACAATTGACACAGCAGGGACTTGCTGAAGGGCACAGTGGTGAGATCACTCTGCCGACCCTGGGATTTCAAACCTTCCACACAGCAGCCCCATTTCTGTTATATTACAGCCCCGCTGCCCCCTGCTGGGAATAAAGAGCAGCTTCATGCATACTGGCCTTGTTCTTGCTGGCATCTCCGGTTAGCGTAATGGAGCAGTTTATCTATGAGGAATGGTAGCCGCTGACCTTTACAGTGAAAGGCCCCTCATTGCCCCTACGCTCCCCCGCAGATGGAGCGGTCCACATTCATCTGGGTCAGCCGCTGCTGTCTTCGTGGGTGGGGCCTGGTGCTTCCAGCGGTGATTACTGGCTTTTTCCCTTGAGTCATGCAATGGCCACCTCATGCCCCCACCCACCAACGTTCCCCCACCGCAGTTCCACGCGGGCCGGAGCACAGGGGGTGCTGGGCTCAGCTTCTGCCCTTTCAGCTCAAGCAGCGGGTTTGGCCTTTAGAACAAAGGCCTTGTTAAGCAGGTCCCCTGACATCAGGCCCTTTGACACTGGGCCGTCCATTCTGATTGCCTGCCAGGGCTGGGAGTCTGTTTTAAACGTATGTGGCTGTTTGAGTGTTTTTGTTCCTGTCTTTGCAAGAGCAAAGGAAATCAAATCAAAAGCATACAACACCGATGAAACCTAAACCTGGTATGAATATAACCTTATATGAATATAACCTTATAGGAATATATCCTTAAGGTGATTTTCCTTTCTTAAAAATGAGCATGTAAAAACATTTCTGCTGGGTGGGGGGCCCAAATCACTGCTGTCAGCCGTAAAGTTGGCACCGGCTCTCCAAGCTCTGTGAGATCGGGGGGGTTCTGTTAAAGATACCAGACACCTGCCAGGATCATCCCAGTAATCCCAGTAATTCCAGTGTTCCTCTGTGCCTCCCACCTGTCCAGCCACGGCACCCCTTTCCTGAGCTTTATGGGGATTTAAACAGCACACAAATCGTTTGGCTACTTTTTTTTCTGGCAACAGTACAATGAGGACTGTCACCAACGTGCTGCATGTATGAATGGGCTGCATGCAGAGCTATGAGGTGCACAGAGGCGCCACGTTATTGATTTTGGAGCCCCGTAATGAATATTGCAGTGGCGACACTTGAGAAACAGCGATCCGTGATGCCCCTGCAGGCTTGGCCTGTGCACACATCCTGCTGCTGGAATCTGGTACATGTGGGACTTCATAGAAGCTCCCTGTAGGCCAAACCCCGCCCCATTCGCTGTAGGTATCGGGTTACACTGGGGCGTGGCTTGCCTCTGAGCAAGGCATCCTGATTGGTCACTACACCCTCGGCCAGGGACCTGTGTTCAGTATATCGCTCCCATGCTGGGAGAGAGCCCCCCCCCCTCCAGCTCATTCACAATTCAACAGCTCCTTTGTGGGATGGGGTCTGTCAGTGCTGGGGCCCTGATGTAAACATTAATATTTAATGTCCGCCATCTGTCACTGACTGACCTCGCGAATCGCTCCACTGTATTTTTGCCATTAATGCACTGGGGATTTGGTATTTTGATTCCACAGCTTCAGAGTTCTGTGCAGTGAAATTCTGTACTAGGTGATTGGCTGTGGTATTTACGCATGTGGGGGCTGGCGTATGCCCCCCGCCCCAGGTCGCTTTGGTTGCTCCAGCTTGCTCCGTGATGCTGGGGCAAGAACAATAGGCATGTGTCAGGGCTCTGAATGGAGTCTCCCACGTGCATTCCCACCGCGCGCACTCTGGGGGGCGGGGCCACGAATCACCGGGAGGGAGACGCCACACTGCCCGCCACAGTCAGATCGAGAGGGGTTATGAACGGCGGCATCGGGGGGACGCCGCGGGAGGCAGGTACGTGTGCGCAGGTGGGGGCCTCGTACCTACAGCCAGGGTGAGAGAGAGAGACGGTGGGGGGGGGGGCGGTTTGGGAGAAACGGGGTCAGGAAGTTTACTGTGGAGTGACGAGACAGAGCAAACGGTCGCTGATGGTTGTGAGGCTGGGGATAGGGCATCAGCAGCTTGGGGTGTGGGTGTGTGTGTGTGTGTGTGTGTGTGTGGATTACCAAATGTCCCCCACAATGTAATAAAAACCTGTTAATTTAACGTTGTGAGGACAATTTTTAAGGTCCCTACAAAGATCTGAGAATGCAATCAAAAAACTAAAAGTGCCAGAAGTCTTTTTTTGTTTGGTTACTGATGGTTACGGTTGGGGCTGGGTAGGGGTTAAGGTTGTCATGTTTGGATTAGAGCTTTCCCCATAGAAATGAATGGAGAGTCCCCACAAAGATATTATTATAATCGTGTGTGTGTGTGTGTGTGTGTGTGTGTGTACAAGCATCTCTGTGTATTTTGATTGTGTGTCATCAATGCTAAAATGCAGACACCTGACGATCGCCTCTGAGCTCGCTGGCTGGTGCTGAATGCCGCCCAGATCCTGCAGTCAACCTGAGCTCCTTCGGGCTTCCTGATCTCATCCTGCTCTTTGTCATTCTCTCAGTTCCTCCTTTGCTTTTATTCAGATGTTTTCAGTTTGTTGCGTAAACAAGACTCGTTGGAGCAGAACACGTTTTTAAAGAGATTTATTTATGGTAATTTTTGTAGTTCAGCACGTAGATCTTTCCGGAGCATCCCGGTCTCTGGGTCTCTGACCTCTCGCTCCCCAGCAACCTCCTTTCCTTTGCCACTCACTTCTCGCCTGCTGTCTTTCAGCTGCTCCTCCGACTGAGACGGATCCTTTTTTGAAAGTTTATCACTGGCATCCACCACCATTGCCTGGATATAGAATCAAGCGAGATCTGTCCTCAGAAGGTCATATTTTTTATTGTAAAATGGCATCATGGTGGCTCAGCAAATCCACCTACCACGGGCGAGTAGCAGACAGCATATCCCAGAATACTGCTGTGTGTGCAGCGTCTGGCTTGGTGTGTGATAAGAGGCCACCGTGCGGCCGGTCACATGGCCTCAAGTGACTTGAAGATGCTATCAGCTACCTCCTCCCAGAAGTCCCTGGGGCAGAGGAGATGGCATCTTACAGCTCTGCTGGATTTACTCAGCAACAGCACCTGGCTTTGTTCAGCCCCCCCACCCACGGACCGTGTGGGTCGCGGCTTGGCCTGGCTTCAGCGGCGCCGGCCCACTTTGCATGTGCCTCTATTTGCATGTGGTTGCAGTTGTGTTCTGCTGTGCTTACAGCCCACATGGGGGGGGGGGGGTTGGAGAGCAAAGAGGAGGAGGATGAGCTTAGAAACAAACCCTGAGTGACTCCAGAGCCAGCAGCCTCTCCGGCACCTTCCACATGTGCTCTGTCTGTCTGTCCATCTGTCTGTCTGTCCATCTTTCTGTCTGTCTGTATCTTTCTGTCAGTCTATGTCTAACAGTAACTGTCTCTCTCTCTGTTTGTGTCTGTCTTTCAGACGATCTGTGTCTGTCTGTCCGTATCTGTCTGTCTGTGTCTATCGGTGTCTCTCTGTTTGTGTCTGTCTCTCTGTCTGTTGACTGAAATGAAACACATTGCTTCACAGCCAGGTGTCTTTCTGAGATGCAGAGGGAGGCTCAGAGAAAGACTGCTTAAAAGAGATGAATCTTTTTTAATTTCCCTTTTGTATTACTGCTGAGGTCCAGGTGGAGCTGTTTCACTCATGTTCATCCGTACGCGTTCCTCTGTCCTCATGCCTGTTTACCCTAACCCTAACCCTGTTTACCCTAACATAAATTTTAAGTCTAACCCTTCCCCTAAAAACATTAAAAAGTGGCTGAATTGAAGTGAAACATGCAGGTGTAGGAGTTCACAGGTGATAGGTGTTGATATTAGTGTTAGGGTCAGGGTCAGTGTCAGGGTCAGTGTCAGGGTTTGAGCCAGGGTTCTGCCCTCGCTCTATATGGAGATCTGACTGAGCAGGAAGTAGAAGCTCCGGCCCTACGCTGTATTTCACCACCTGTACATTCCTGTAACCCCCCCCCCCCCCCCCCCGGGTGTTTGTGAAACGCTGGCCACCAGACAGCTGGAGAGCTGGAGAGTCACAAAAGCGAAGGAGTCATCAAGCACAGAAAGGCGTGCGATCGTGAAACAAAATTGGCCCTGTGGCGACGGGTAATGGGCGGGAACTTGTAGTAAAGTCACATTTCCTGTCAAAAACATGTCATTCCACTATAATTAATGGTGCAATTAACATTCCAGCACAGTTAATGCATTTACACGCACCTCATTAATGAATCTTCTGCCCTCACTGTGTACTGGCATATGCAGCTACGGAGCAAGTTAAAAGCTCTTTCAGGAGAGTCCTCAAGTCACCAGCTGCCTTCAGCAGATTTTAAACTTCATTAAACACCGGAAATCAGCCGTATCAGTATGAGGACCAGAATGAGGACCAGAAGGGATCATATTCAGTGTTACCCGGGTCTGGAATCTCCCGTTTTAGCACATCTCGTTTTCTTCATTTTTTTGTCGTTTGTTCTTGTTCCTGCAGGGCCAGGAGGCCAGCGAGGACACCGGCAAGATCCTTGAGCTTTCAGAGAGCACATACCTGGGACCAGAACCTGCCAGATGGATGCAGCAGAATCCAGAAACCTCAGAACGCAGCTGCCGTTTTAACTCTTTGCACAGAGACACTATATCCAAGCTCAGCCCGGACAGCAAAGCCTGTTTCCTTGAGGCCCAGGGGGTGGAGGACGGTCAGCCGGGGGACAGCAGATCAGGGGACGGAGGGGACAGGTCTCAGGGACAGCATGTTGAAAGGTGTCCCAGGGGACGCGGCACAGGAAATGCATGCACAGCACAGGCTGCAGGAACGCAGCGTGGACATGACATAGACTCACAGCACAAACACACAGCGGACTGGCTATTTGGTGCAGATGCTAGCACAGAACCCGACACACATTCAGTCTGCGGACAGATATGCCCTGCAGTTTTGCGCATAGCGAGACTCGAACCTGACTCTGCTGACGTGCATAAGAGAGTTTGTATCTCAGAGCAGGCTTGTTCAGCCTCACTCTCGCAGATTCTATGCCCGCAACTCCCAGAATCCTGTGGCTCAGAGCAAACCTTCTACGGGCTGCAAACTCCACGTTCTCTTAGCCAGGGTTCTGGACAGGAGCTCCTATCAGATGATAGTGTTTCTGGGGGGGAGCTGGGAAGGTTCACAGAGGCACAGCTTGGCTCCAATCTCTGCGGACAATCCAGCACCGAGGTGTTGAGAGGCCCCCTCATCAGCAGCTATAGTGAGAACCTATCTCCTGACAGCAATGTTCCAGAATATTCCTCTGTGCTGACATTAGGAAAGGAGAGGTCAGAATCAACCCCCTTTATCTCCAAAGAAGAAAACGATTTTTTCAGTGCTTGCATTGTACAAAAGAAGAATGTACGTGATACACAGAGTGTCACCAAGAAACATTCAGATGATGCTGGACTTCCCAGTCTAACATGTCATAGGGAATTATCCCCATGTACCTCCACAGAGACTTTTGGTAAGATCACAGATGACCTTCAGGCACATGTTCCACAAGCTGTTCCATGTGATTCCGGATGGAACAGTGAAGCAGACACAGTGCTCACCGAGACAGTGAAACATCAACACTTTAAAGAGTCCAGCAGTCTTATTAACTCAGATTGTCACTGGGGAGAGATCACCTCACACCCTAAAGTTTTCCCAGTGAGAAGGGCAGAAATTGCCGCATTACACCTACATGCTCCTCTTGAACACATTAGGCTAAATGGTCTTCCTGGACAGCACCATCATAAGACGCCCATCAAGCCCCATGAAACCAACAACACCCTGAAGGCATCTTCAGGACTGTGTCCTACTGATGGATTAGCAGACAGTGTTCTGGCTAAGGAGCAATCGTACGTCGAAGACCAGTTGGGCTGTCACACCTCAGGTGACAGTGATGTCCATTCTCCAAATGCATCATTAACCATCAGCCCCAATCCCTCACAGCCATTTCCAAATAAGGAAGTCAGTTCTCCGTTTAATATCCCTGATGTGGACACATTTACTACACTGGATGGTCAGCCATACTGGAATGGTAAGGAGTTAAGGCCTTTCTATAATGATCCTGAGGGGATTCGGTATGACATCGAATTGTCTGAACAGGAGAAGCTGGAGAGGTATCACCAGCAGGGGGTGCTAAAGAGCAAGGACAGTACTTCAGGTCAAAGTTGCACTTCCCACAGCCCCACATTCCCCTTAGACACCCACCGTGGGGATGGTGCGGAGGAGCTAAATGTGCAGAATTCCTATTTTGGACCAGCAGAAGAGGGTCCAGAGAGCTCTGCAGATGATGGCCCTGAGCCAGTAGGCGATAGTATAAGCCATATTTATTCTTTTTCACAAGAAGTAGAAAAGCACAATACAACAGCAGTTTCTGAGGACTGTCTGGCGTTAATTCCTATTAGCCCTCAGAAAGTGCCGACAATTGAAACGGTGCAATACCAAATCCAAGATGCCTGTTTAAATCTTCTCTCAGTCAATCTTGAGCCCATTTTTGAATCAGATCAGTGTCAAGATAACTCCTCCATAGCTGAAGATGTAGAACATGGACGAGACGAGGAGATGATCAGCGCAGGTTCTGCTGTGGAGGACCAAGTCGGTCACTCCAAGACCATGAGGGAGGACTCATCCAGCACGGATTCAGAAGCTCTGTTCGGTTCCAGCACTCCTTCACCAGACAGCTATGGAGTCATGACACCTAATGGTGAGTTAGCATACGGGCAGTGTCTGAGCCCCACCATAGCTGGTGACTCCACCAGCTATGACAAAGAAGAAATGGATGACAATGCCTATTCTTACCTAGGTAGCAACACCAGCCTCCATAAGGCAGTAAGGGGCAAAGCAACAAAGGGTAAATTTAGTGGGAAGGGCTCTAAGTTCTCTGTGTTCTCCAAGATGCCCTCATTCAGAAGGGGTAAAAACTTAAGCCGGGATAGCAGAGGTAGCAAGTCAGGGAGCTTTCCCTCAGCCTCTCCAGATAGAGAGGCAGGAGAGGACAGTGTGGAGGATGGACAAGGGGACAAATCAAGGTCCACCTTGTCCAACAGCAGTGAGGAGCTGAGCAATTTTGAGGGACAGGAAGAGAACCTGGATGATGACGTCTTCCACAAGGACCAGCCCTTCAATCAGGCTGCCCAGAGAGCTATGCCAGGAGGTCGACTGGATAAGGAGGATTTGGGCATCTTCTCGTTAACAAGTGATGCCGGAAATGGAGATGCTGATGCTGCCTGCACTCCTGAGTTAGGGGATTTGCAGCAAGGGAAACAGCCCAACAGGTCAGAGGGTGCCAGCTGCAAAAGGAGCAAGAGCTCAGACAGCCTCAGTCTGCGCCTGAAATTGGCACAGGCCCATAAGTCGCTCTCTTCTTTCTTTGAATCCCGCTCCCCGGACAAGGAGCATGAGGGACAGTTTCCGAAGCTGGACGGTGCGGCCTCAAGGTCCAAGCGGTCTGGCAGGAAATTAAAACCAGTGAAGGAAGTCCCGAATCGGACCATGTCAGTGTCTGATACCAACACCATCAAGTCATCCTCAGTGAACAACACGGATCTGAACCCTTGCTCTGCCAGCCAGAGGACCACATGCCATACCGACCCACTGACCAAGAAGGGAATGGCACGTGAACTCTCAGGTACTTCCCCAAAGAATGCCAAGCCATGGGAGAGGAGTCCAATGCAGTCTAACAGCCTTACCATTCCATGCCCGGATCCCTGCCAGCTGTCTTCACGCAACCTCGATAACATGGCTGGCGAGGACTCCAGCCCCCTTCTTCATATGACACCCCCCCACACCACCCTCACCATCCAGGGCACCCCTACACGGGCCCGGTCTGTCGGTTCCGTCGACAGCATGGACAGCCCTTCGAGACCGACCAGCCCCAAGCCGCACAGCCCCAGGTTCGGCAGCCACCGTAGAAGCTTCCGGTTCCCCTCCCCACATGCCAGCACCTTATCGCACATCTTGCTGGGACAATCTGTCAGCACAGAGCGGGTCTCTGATCCCCCCGAAAAGCCGAAGACCCTCAAGCCCAGATTGTCCCCGTTGATGCCCGTGAATCTTCTGGACACAGACGGCCAACATGTGGACAGTCTGCCACAGGTCGTCTTGACCACATCCTCGTCTGTAAATGAGTTTGAGGTATGATAAAATGGCTTCTGGGACTTATTGATAAACACTTTTCAATATTTAATAATTAGCCTTTTCAGAGTTATAGTTGCAGTGCAGGGACAACTTAAACCACAGCTTGGATTCATTTCATGCTGAATTGCATGCTGGTAGAGATGTAGCAGGTGCCTCACTGGAAAAATAAACCCCTCTTTATATATGACACTTCTTCTTCTTAATGAAGGGGAATGCTGTCATTGTGCGATTTAGTGAGCCTATTCTGGGATTTGTTTGCATTTCTGGATACTGCTTTTAATAGTCTGCTACAATAAAGAGATGTGTGTTGGTATCGCCATCTAGTGATTCTTCTAGAAATCCTCATTCTGAACTTCAGGCTACCTAAAACGTTGATGTTAATGCCTTAATCTGCACAAACACATTCTGGAAGGTTCTTTGGTGCACCCCAAACATTGGACATTTTTACACACTTCAGATGTCCCCGGTTCATTTCCCAGTGACCTTGATTATTTGAAAAAAAGGAGTATATTCCGTGTTTATAATGACATATTTGACAGATACACTCATGTGTTTCATTTACTATCAAAGAACTTTGCTGATGATACTAAGCCAGCCAGCCAGTCGCAGGAGTCAGCTACCGTCCGGAGAATGAGGAGACGTGCGCACAAGCCCAGACCCCTCTCCGACTGGGGAGGCCTACAAGGGGCCCCCGGGCCCAGGGCCATGCGCTGGGGGGTCACGCAGCAGCGGAGTTGCTCAGATGACCTGTGGATCGAGGATATGAAGAGGATGCTGGGCCGGGAAGCACAGGGCTTCAATCTGCCAGAGGAGCTGCAGAAAGTAAGGCGGTGCGGCGGGGGGGTTCTGCCTCCTCCTGTACTCCACCTGCTGACTCTCACTCCTCAGAGCTGATCTTGTTCTCCTCTCCACTTGTTCTCTCCATGCTGGTGCTCTTCTTCTTCCCTGGTTCTTTGCTGCCCTCTTTTCATGCTTCCTTGCTCAAATACGGCGAAAGCTTTTCTATCCACAAAACTTCCTTGAAGGTTCTGTCATATTCCAGGAAGGAACCTGAGTATTATTTTGATGTTTATCCTAAGAATTTATTCTGAGACTTCATCTTTGCAAATGTTTTACTGGAAAAATGGAGGTTAAGTTCTTAAAGTTTACAGAAATAGCCGAAGGCTCCTCTTTGGGCTTCAATAATAACCTTCAGGTTCTGTATCTTCAAGCAGTAATATCCCCTCCTGGCCCCCTGCTCTGTTCCCCTTTGATTCTGCAGTTTGTCAGTGTTAGACCATGCTGACATTTTCTGCAGGACTGTGCCCGGTTCTCCCTCACTGCCATGGAGACCTTCTCAACCCTGCCAATCAAAGACCAGAGTCTCTCTCAGAGCATCCCCACTGGTCTGGACTGCCTGGGCTGGCACCGATGCCCCTCCTACCACGGTGAGTCTCCACCCACTCTTTGTCCTGCTGTCCATGACTAGCCTTTCTGGATCTTGTTTACTGAACAGCCAGAGAGAATACTGGTTGTCATGCAGAAATAGTTGACACTTCCTGTCAGTGTACAGTATACAGAAAGTTGACTGAAACACATGAGCACCTCTAGTGAAGAAATTTCCATCCAGTGACAGTGGCTCATACAGTATCCCCTTTTCATACCTTGGTTTTATGTGTTTAATGTGTGTCTCCAGCAGAGGGCACAATTTATTGAAGTAATTATAATGCAGGCAATTGAAGAGCAGGTCAGTGACATGGAAGGAAGGGATTGTGATCGTGGTGGTTCTTCATCTGTCAAGAGGAGCATCTCTGGGTGTTTATGGAGGCTCCTTCTTTCCGTTTTGTTTACTTAGGCCTGGTGTCTTCTCTGCCGCACTGAGCAAACAGAAGGTCTCTCATTAAACAGCATTCTCCCTCACCAGCTGCACTCAGATGCTTCTCAGTGTCCTCCAGGCATCTGAGATTGATTATTTGTGACAAATTGCAAGTATGGCCAGAAACAGTGACTAACCCTGTAAAGAAACTGCATTTATAAGCATTAAAAAGGGGGAATGAAGGTACGTATTTTCCCCTTCAGATAGCAGAGGCCCTGGTGGTAATTTGCATTTGTTAATGCAATGACCCTGATGTTCTTGGTAAAGCTTGAAAACTCATTGCTCCTCTTATGCCCTCAACCCAGACCTAATCAATACTGGGAGAGTAATTAACATCATGGGGCCCTAAAATCCATCCTCCTTTTGGTACTTTCCCAAACTTTTGCTGTTTTATTAAGGTTTAATAGTCTGAATTGTAATGAACACACAGGAAGGCAGGGGGCAGTCAGTACCAGTGACGGCTGCATTGTACCGTTGCACAGCAGATAGTAAAAGCTGCTGGACCAGGATCTTCAGGTAACTGACCTGTTTCTGGTGAAATCCGCCGTCTCTTGTCTTTGGTATACGTCCAGGTACAAAATGAGATGGGGTTTTTCTGGTTGTGTTATATAGAACCAGGACCAAAAGCGCTTGCTTACAGTGCCTGTGACTCAGTACACTTAAAGCAGAACTGGATGGCTTTATGGATAAGCTTATGATTATTTATGCTAAATATGAATCCCCTTTCGCGTTCCGGCTGATTCACACTGAATCCAGCTTGACAGACATTCTGTGTTTGCGTATGTTTCGTGTGGAGCTGGAGATGGGTCTCAGGGGGCGATGCTCTCAACCGGAGGTGCATCTGTATGGCGGAGGCGCAGTCAGCAGTGAGATCCCGAGGAGGGTCCCAGGGTCGCAGGGGGCACCACCAGGGGCACCACCGGGGGCATGGTGACCCATGTGCAGGTTTCTGCAGAAAATAAGACCTTTAAAGCAAAAGTAAACAAATGAATAATGGTGCCACTTTGAGCACTCAGAGCCAGCAGCTATGGAAGGGGGGGGTTTGGCTCTGTGGAGAATCTACATGGCTGCTGAGGCACTGCTGAATCCCCTCTCTTAGCGCACCCCCCCCACCACCCAATTTCAGAGGGAGAGGGAGAGGGAGGCAGAGAGAATGGGAGAGGGAGAGAGGGACGGAGAGAGGAGGAGCAAGAGGGAGGGAGAGCGAGGGAGGGAAGGAGGGAGGGAGAGAGAGAGGGAGAGAGGGAGGCTGTTGCGGCTGGTGGAGAGACAGAGCGCTCCCTGGCCCAACAGCAGACTTGTGCAGCACACGGAGGAGCAGCCAGCCGGCCAGGTCTCCATGCGGACACAGCGCAGCAGGGAGGTGGCCCCCCCGTTACCCTGGGGGGGACGCGGCAGCGGCAGCACGGGGCTCTCACCGGGCTCGGACTCAGACGGCAGCCCCGGAGTGGGGGGCCTGGATGGGGGGCTCTGGGGCAGTCTCCAGGGGGTGCTGTCTCGATACTGGAGCCTGGAGAGTCTGCACTCCACCACAGGTGAGCACAAGCCCCCACAGGGAGAGGTGCGGGGTCCCAGTTTGACCTCACTGCTGGGCGTGGAACCAAAGCTATTAGCTGCTGCCTGGACTTTCTGTTTATGTGCTTCGTGGTGGTGACTGAGCTGATGTTTATATCGGAGAGTGTCATGGAGGTGATGCTGATTGGATAGTGTGACGGAATTCATTGTGACTGGACAGGGTCATGGACAGGGAGATGATTGGATAACGTCATTGAATCATAGTGATTTGATAGTGTTACTGAGTTTATGGTGATTGGATAGTGTTATGGAGTTTATGCTAATTGAATAGTATGACAGAGTTGATGCTGATGGAATAGTGTCATAGAGTTGATGCTGATTGAATAGTATGACAGAGTTGATGCTGATGCGATAGTGTCATAGATTTGATGCTGATTGAATAGTATGACAGAGTTGATGCTGATGCGATAGTGTCATGGAGTTGATGCTGATTGGATAATTCAAGTTCATGGTGACTGGGTCTCCAGTTTCGCCTCTTTTCCACACTACCCCAGATTTTTCAGCACCCAAAAACTTTTGTAGATGCTCTCATTTGATCTCTTCTGAAATCTCTGTTTTAGAGTTACAATCTGGATGAGTGAAAACAGAGGCCTTTGAAGGTCTCTAATTGTGCCCTAATTGGTCCATACTCATCATGTCGCCTTTCCCCGACTTGATCCTACTAGTTCCACTCTCTGATCGGTCACCTGGTCACCCTACACAGAAGTAAACTGCATTACACCATGGCGGATATAGTGGAGCTGCTTTCGACGGCGCTTTCCCTGTTCCTTACCATAGTGTGTCACACACTGTGACTGCTGCATATTTGCACAAAAAGAAAGTCATTTACTGGTCACTGTGTCCATATGCGCATGGGCTAATATAAACATCATAAATGTTCTCGCTCAGTGTGCATGTATTTTTGTAAACGATGTGAAAACGCCTGTGTGGATGGAAATTGTTTTTGTTGCAGTGCAGACGTAGCCTTACTCTCCGTCTTTGCCGCTGGAATTTCTGCAGGTTTAAATGCAAGTTATCACAAAGGGCTTCTGTAAGGTGTCATTTTGGTTACAACAGTGAATGTGACTTCCCTTAATGACTGGGGTCAGTGTGGAAACTTGTAATTTTGTACTGGACAGCCAAGCTGCCATATATCTGCAGATGAAGATGCAGGAACGTAAATACTTCTTGATAAGGTATCTTCCAACTGAATCAGTAATGACACTGTTATGAAAGAATAGTATTGTTTTATTTATTAAAATTAAAAGTTACAGGCTGCAGAGAATGATTTATTAAATTGCTGGGCTCCCTGTAAGAGGCAGACGTGAGCTTGTAATTGAAAGCGGTAATTATGTATTTCAGTTCCCAATTCCACAAAAACACAAAACTATGGATGCTGCAAAGTGATTTCTCAGGTGTCTGTTGATTACACACATGTACGTAAGCTGTAGCTTGTGCTCACCCTCATTCTCAGATGCACATAAATGTACATATTCATGACAGCAGGGAAGTAAGAGCCAGGGCATAAATTACTGAACTATGAAATTACGTAAGTATGGAAGTCAAACCAGAGATGGATGCTGTTTTCACTGTCTTCGTAGTCTTATAACATTCAGGGTTTATACTGCAGCAAAGACTTTACTGTGAGTATCTGTAGAAAACTTACTAAATGTCAGAAAAATCTCCAGAACGCTGAGGACAAGCACTAATGTTTCATCTTAAACCTGGTAACCAGGGCTTAGCAGAGATTCCCTCTGACTAAATCCTGCTGTATGATGACATCACCAGCCATCGAGAAAGATCACCAGTCTCACATTATGATGCTAGAATAAAATCCTGTTTGAAAACATAACAACGTACCATACTACACAGAGCTGTGAGTGAGTCTTTCCGGTTAACTGTGAGATTGTTTGAGCTTGTTTAAACAGTTTAATCCATTATCAGATTACTGTTACCCAAGACCACAGAAATGTCATTGCTGAAGACACAGAACCTGTAATTAAATTCCAGCATAGGATTTATTGTGCTGTTTAGTAACTGACCTTATAATTGGCTAAGGTCAAGAGTCAGGAAGTCATATGGACAAAGGTAGGCAGGGCTAAAGAAGGGAAGCTGTCATGGACATTTAATGCACATTAGTGTGGGCAGTGGATTGCTTAGTAATCATCCGGTTGGAGCTGCTCTGTTCAGGTTGGCATGGCGACTGAGCACCCAAGGTCCCACACAAGACGTCAAGCCTCTTATTATCTGTGGGCAGCCATCAATGGCGTATGAGGTCATCGTGTCACCGGCTCCTACAAGTCCATAGACCATCGCTACCCATTGGGAAGGGAAGTGGCTCATAGTTCCCAGATCACCAGTTTCTATGTTTCTCTACATTGGCACGGTGCACTGGAGTTGTATGTTGATTCCTCAGCTAATTCTGCCAAACTTGATCTGTTCCTCAAGATTTTTACTGTCAACTCAGGCAAGACACAATTAAATAGAAGACGGCATCAGAAAACTTCTAAACTGAGAAAGAGAGAGAGATGGCACAGGCACAGGTCATGCTACCCTAACTGCTCAGTCAAGCCCGACGCTGGGGTCTGATTGACAGATTGATCAGGTGGTACCTTCAGGATTGTGAGTTTTCATCTCAACCCAGCTCTGTGTGGCTGTTCTGTGTTCGTCTTGTGTTTGTGTCTCCTGAGGTCTACAGGCATGTTATTCAGGCAGGATGACCTCTCTTAATTATCGGTAGTCTCTGTGCCTTGTGATGCTCACTTGCTGCAAGTCTGCAAGGAATAAAAAAAGGATGGATGGTTAGAAGAATGCCATCTCTTAGCAGAGTTACCTGATATGATTCATGGTAAGGGGGAGAGGGCTGCTCTAGCAAATGGCATAGCTGTAAAGACCATTCGCTTTGAATGGTTTACAAATGTAGGCTAGTCCCTGACTTTGACTGATCCCATGCAACTTCGCTATTGCTAACTAACTTATTGTACAGAATGAGGCTTCCACTATTCAGGGGTAATTTGC